AAATGAGGTAAATGCATCTAATTTTACTTAAGATTATATAATTGCTTACATTTTAAAATAACTATTCTATTATAAATGGCACTACCTATTTTAAAGCCAAATAAATTTTTATAACTTAATAAAAATAATAGGTTTTTAACAAAGATATTCCATTATCACTGAAAGTTAAAAATAGCGTTTTAGTTACTGTTTGATAGCGCGGCAGTCTATATTTTCTAGCCATACGTCACTATTCTTGCCGCCCTTTCCTTACTAGATCGCCAAGATGGCTGGTGGTGACATAGCAAATATGATTCTTGGGATTCCATTTTTAACACGACATTGGTTTTGTGGGACCATTTTGTTTTCTCTAATCGGACGTTTTGGCCTAATTAACCCTGCACTATTAATCCTGGTCTGGGATAAATTTATATATAATCTACAAGTATAATCGAATTCATTTATCCTATTTTAGATATGGAGACCCATTAGTGCGCTTTTATTTTATCCAGTAACACCACAAACTGGTCTACATTTCCTTATCAATCTCTATTTTCTTTATTCGTATTCCTCTCGCTTGGAATCTGGTTCGCCTTTTTCTTCACTAATGCTATTTAGGAATGTTTTTCGGTAAAACCGCTGATTTCGCCTTTCTTTTGGGGTTTAATTGGATCTGCTTAGTCGTATCCTTTTGCGATTTACTTATATGCTTCACATTTTTGGGTACTCCATATCCAAAATGTTTTTTTAATAAGATAACTATTTTTGAAAGTCATGCATATTAAAGATATATAGCAACCCATTTGTATTATTAAAACAATATACTATTTGTAAAATCAGCCGAACGTCGATTCATCATGGTACTCTTCATAAAGCCTATTGCTTAAAAATATTTATCATAAGTTTTGCCCTTAATAATTGCTGTTTAATAAAGCTGGTTCTTACTATAATTCTTGCATATATGGCCTTTGGCCTTATTGTAGTGATCTCTTTGATGCGGAATTTTGTAATTCTCGCTGATTAACTTTTACGTTTTCACTACACTTTTTACTTGTTTTCCCCTTTATTATTCTGGGTTTATACTCCTTTACTCGGATCCTCAGCTTATCGCCTTTGTCACTCAGCTTTATGTAAGTTATTAGTTCCTAATCTTTGTGGCTATATTCTGGTTCTTTATTTCAGTCATCACCATTAAATTTTTTCCTTTATAGTTGCTGATGGAGCCTATGGTTCTAAGT